CTCTCTCTCTCTCTCTCTCTCTCTCTCTCTCTCTCTCTCTTAGATGGATCAATTAGATGGATTATTTTGCTTCCAACGGATCAATTAGATGGATTATTTTACAATTACTGTGTGCTATTGTCATCAAAATATCTAGACCATATTCCCAAAACTCAAGTACATCCAAGAAATTTATCAAAATATTAGGTTCTTAGTCATATTTCCGGTTCGTGATAGAACTTCCACCGAAATTATTTATTTTTTCGTGGAAATTTCATGTTGTGTTAACAGGTGGTGTACAGTATTTCCAGGTCTAAGAGCAGCCGCCGAATGTGAACATTTTACTTTGCTACAGTTAATAAGTCCAACTTAATTACGAAAATATAAGAAGTATGATTATTATTACTTTAATTTATTTTTATTTTCACCAGTTATGCATGCCAATGAATGTCCTTGGAAGGCAATCAAACTTGTTTCACTTTCCTTTTCTCTCACTCATACTTGATGATGGTACTTTTCATGCCAGCCAGCTCATTTTTGCGGAGGTTCTAATCCAACGTATTTGACAAAGGGAAAGCCAAACATTATTTATCAAAGGCAAGGCAGCAAAGGGAAGCAATGACTTACATATACAATAACTTACTCGTTTCCTAGTTTCCTTCAAACATTGGGCATTCTTTAGTGCATGTGTATATGCTTTAATGTACATAGAAATATACATACATACCCGTATATTATATATTGTTTCAACTCGTCAGATGCTACAGCAATAACATATTAGCATGTACCTGTCCGATTAGTTTGTGTGAATGGGAATAACGAGTAAAGGGTTATCATCATTACCTCTCCACTATTGTGTACAAATAAAATATATGCAACGTGTATAATTATACCTACACGCACTGAACAATTTCGATTTTTCCACGGCACCCCTCAATTGTGTGCAAGAGCATCTATAATAATACCATCATTTAGAGCAATTATAACCTACTTAATAACAACCACCTTTCTTATTTCTTCATAATGTGCAAGAATTATAATATAACCAAAGAGATCATAACAAACAAAACCATTGTTTGAGAACCAACACAAATCCAAATTTGCTCAATTTTAACTCAGTTTCGTCTAATTTTTAGATATTCCATCAAAGCAAAGACTAGATGCCTTAAGGATATTCAATTTGCCCTTTTTCTTTTTTTTCTTTTTTTTGCAAGATGATTTATGAATGAAGACTTGAAAAATATATTGTTTGGATCGTTAAAAAAATAAATCGTCATGATCCTGAAGGGTGTCCCTCAATAGAAATGGACTTCTACATAAAAGATTTTGTAGAAGCTATCTAAAACCAGAAAGCTTTGTTACAGTGATCAATTATATATTAGTTTTAGCATGGTGTTCAGCTGAAGCCGAGTATGGGTTGAGCTAAGTGCATGCAAGCCTGCCTAATGAAGTTATATATAGCTCATCGGTCTCTCTTCAAATAACAGTTTAACCTGTTGGGCTGGATACTTAAAGAAAACTTATGTATTGGTCTATAAGAGCCACCACCAATGAAGTGTTAGTGTGTTACGTTAACAAAGACTTATGCACAATAAAGGAACTAAACAACAAGGATTCATTTGTGTATGCGTAAGGGGATTGTTGAAATCCCTTGTGAATTTGTTGACTAAAGGTGACCTTTTGGGATGGAAATTGACATGGATAAGAAAGTTGGAAATTTCTTATAAGAAGTAGGTGCATGTATATTTGGAACAGGGATGGAGTATATCTAAGCAAGCATCTGCTTAAAGCTAACCTTTATATATAGTAGCTAGTACTTCAACCTACCTAGCTATATGTTATTCAACTTGAATATCAGAATTATGGCCATGTCAAAAACATATGTTAAAGTAGAGCTATATATAATATAAGGTTTGGTTGCATTCTTTGACAGAGAGAGAGAGAGAGAGAGAGAGAGAGAGAGAGAGGAGCCTCTTTTGCAAGTAATTCTCCATGTCCATGTTGTAAGAATATTATATAAATATTCTGTGTGGTCCACATAAAGTGACTTATAGTAAATTAATTGTTTAATTAATTTATAATAATTATATTGACTAGAGAAAAAAGTAGTTTTTTATTTTATTACTGTGATGAGTGGTAATTGATTATGAGCTTCACTAGAAAATTGGTCCTCTCTCTGCCTATAATAGTGCACATACTCATCTTATGTGTACACTGATGAAAACACATATTAGGGTTCTTTAATGTGCAAAAGGCTAGAGAGACAAATATATTTCTTCTACACTGACGGCTCGCCTATGAATCTTTCAAAATAAATATCTTAATATAATAGAAGACTAATCATTTAAAATATGTATGCAATTTAAGTCTAATTAAATTTCCGTCTAATGCTATTGTGAAGATTACAAAGTTTAAGATCTTATATCATGGATTGAATTTATTGATTTTACCCAACATTAAGTTTACACACGTCACATAAAACTTGAGCTGAGAAGGTGAAAATGATGAGAATTGATAATGAAATGAAAAGGCAGCCAATGCCATGCAATGCGCATGAAATGAAAAAAGTGTGTGCTGTGTTGTGTTGGTGGTGGTGTGTGGGGGTGCGTGCATGTTCACGATAACAGCGTTAGGCCCTCGAAATTCCCGACAAGACAAGGGCCATAAAATTCCACGCTTTTTTTTTCTTTTTTTCTCTTTTGCATGGACAGGCGTGGGGCTGTTCCTGTGGGCCCCTCCTCCCTGACTGCGCGTGCAAAGCCGGACTTCGTGGGGGGCTCTCCTGTGGGTCCCTCCTAAACTAATACCCCTCAAATTGTATTGTATAGTATTGTATTATTATTCTACAGATATATATGTACTCTCTCTCTCTCTCTCTCTCTCTCTCTCTCTCTCTCTCTCTCTCTCTCTCTCTGTTTTTCCATTTTCTATTACCGCCATCATTTCATTATCTCCTCTTACTAATACTAATCCACATACATTGCCTCTTTGCCTGCAACTACAGTTTTCCAAGATATTATATTATTTAGCCTTAATTAAATAATTAATCCCCTGTTCCCATTTGTTCTCTAATTGCCTCTAGTTGCTGCATTATTTTATAACCAGAGCTATCATGACCATGGAATTTTTAAATATCCTCTTTTTGGGTTCCTTAAAGAAAAAAAAAAAGAGAAGACACATGTTGATCTGGATGGATGGGTTGCAATGCATTGTCATGGTTGAGTCACGTGGACGTGTGATTAGTGAAGAAAAGTGTCAAACAGTTAGTAATGGGAACATTATTATAGGAAGGAAGAGGAAGAACATTTTTTTATATAAAAAAAAAAGCTTTTTACATGATCGTCTTGTAATTCCACTACTAAGATCTTGACACAGCACAGGATTCCTCGTCAGTCATCTTTCTTTTATATATTTCTTTAATTAGTCAACTCTCCCAACACAACACAAATAACGTTAATCTCCTAATATGTTTTACTTATTTCTTCTGTTGTAGCTACAATTTTGGTCCAGGGGATATTCACCAGAAGAAGAAACGTACGTCGTCTCCATAGGGTGATATTGATATGAATGCTGCAAAGCAAAGGACTTTAATTTGGAAAATTTGGTTGCTTTTGTTTTGCATTGCAGTTTTCAAACACGTACGTACATATGTTTTTGTTTGCGTGTATATATATATATATAGGGCAATAATTTCCCCACTCCTATTTTATCCACTTACACTCCTTTTTTAATAATTTTCCCACTCCTATTTTATCCACTTACACTCCTTTTTTAATAATTTTCCCACTCCTATTTTATCCACTTACACTCCTTTTTTAATAATTTTCCCACTCCTATTTTATCCACTTACACTCCTTTTTTAATAATTTTCCCACTCCTATTTTATCCACTTACACTCCTTTTTTAGTTATAAAAAAGGAGTGTAAGTGGATAAAATAGAAGAAAAAGGAGTGGGGAAATCACCACTCTATATATATATATATATAAGTGTAGTGTAGTAGTGTAGTAGTGTAGTGTTGTGTTGTGTTGGAAGTAGCTAGGTAGCTAGGTAGTAGGTAGCTAGGTAGGTGTACATGTAGAAACCAAAAAAGTGGAACATTGAACAAGAGAGGCTAGCTAGTGATGAGTACTGCACATGTCAATTGTCAAATAAGACAACCTCATCATGTTCAATTACCCTTTTTATATGACACTTATATCAATTTTCTATTTGTTTAGTTTTGCAGGAAAGGTGGCTATTCACAAGATATATATATATTATATATATAGTTGCAAATTGCAATGCAAATACTTTACACGCCATGCATACATAATGTATGTGTATGTGTGTTTTCTATGTATGCATGTCATGTGCCATAGACAGGAGCTTCACCAAACAATTTTGTCCCCCATTTTTCTCAAAGCTTAAACGTTCAAGGCTTGGCTAATGTGAATGGGAACATCAAGGACACAGCTCTGTTGTTTAGAGTGTTGTGTGTGTACACTGTGTCTTCCTCTCCTTTCCTTTGTAACTCTGTCAATGAATTTTAGGTTAATCGAATCGAACCTTGTGAGACCAGACCAGCCCCCAATGTTTTCTAGTGAGATGCCTGCTTCCCAAGCAATCACTGATTAGATGGGCTCGCATACAACTTCAGAAATGGCCCAAGGATTTAGGGTTTAGGAGATTTTCTATACAAGAGCAGAAGAACAGTGAACAATAAACCTCAAAGTGTTATATCCTAAAATCAATATTTATGGAAATATAGGACATTCTGTACAAAACTCACTCTTGTTGACCAACAAAAATGGGATCCATCCTGCCACTTATCATGGCCTCCCATCATTTGGCTACTCAACTCATCTAAACATTTTCATCCCAGAATCAATGTACTTAGATTCAATCTCTACCTAGAGCCAGATCCACTATCAAGGCTCCTCAAGGGAAAACTTTTCATGTTGTTACCACTTACAAGTTACAGCCTGCATTCAATTCTAAAAAGAAAATAATTGGCCTATGACTACGTAATGAAACAGGGCTTGAGCATGCCAACAAAATTTAGGGGCCAGATGATCAAAATTGAGTATAATTAATAAAGGATACATATCCATTGCTTGATACAAAGACCATCATTGGCCACCACTTCAATGATGCTACAAGAAGTTTGAATTCAGACCTGTACAACTAGCTGTTACAGTTTCAAGATTTATATGTGTGTACTTCAAAGGGCTCTAAAATCTAGCATGAAAATATTCTCATACAAGTTCCAAATAGTTTCACCGATCTCTTCTAATAATCACCATTGGCAAGATAAGATTCTGACAAGCTTGTGTGACTTGGAAGTATATTCAAGACCTCTAAATTCCAGAAAGCTTAACAAAAGCAACACTCTAACCTGATCAAAAAATTGACGTAAGCAATCTCCTGAAACTTACTATTTAGCCTTCTGTAAGTCACCTTCCCCACCAACATTCTCAGAATCAGACTGGTCTTGAATAGGAGGAGTCTCGCTGTCAAACAGAGGCACCTTAATATTCTCTTGCTTTGACAACAGAACACACTGTGTAACGCTTACAAACTGGTGCTGACGTATCAAGCTCCACATCTTCTCTCACTTTTAGTTACACATCTAAGTCAAGTACAAAACAAGTTCCACCAATAGTTAGCATCCGCAACATGAACATGAAAGCACAGACTAAGAATGGCAATAGTAATTATGCAGACATATAATTCTGGAAAAGAAGATGAATTGTAGAAACAGCTTCTGCTTGGAGTTAGAGGTGTGAGAAAATGGCCCGCCAGTTAAAAATTCTCATTAAAAATTGTTTCCATTACACAAATGGTTTCTCTTGCTACAGGAAGGGCACAAGTTAAAAAAATTATGCAAGTTCATAGCTAACTTAAAAAATATGCAAGTTCATAGCTAACTAGCTTGTAACTTTATAAAAATTTCCATGTAACATAATGAGTTTCCTGAAGAATTTTGAATTGACATATTAATTGAACAAAACTCAGATTCTTCAGAGCAATGAAAAGTAGAAAAATATTAACCTTAGACATTAGTTTGTTCTTGCTGATCTCAAAAGCAAGTTGAGTCAATGGCAAGCGCTCCTACTTTACGAATGACAATTTCCTTATAAACACACATGGCCAACAAATATTTAGATTATAACTTGACATGTATGCTACAACACATAACTGATTCATTCTAGGAAATGATTGACATTAAATCTCTTTCAAAGTGGGTGATAAAAATGTTATCCAATGTTCAACCTTTACCGCACCATCAGGAGGTAGATATAAATCGTAATAAGTCTAAGTGGAACACAATGAGAATGAAGTCAAATAGTAATTCAACAAGATTTGGAATAACTAAAAATATTTCTAGTGATAGTGGGTTTTATAGTTGGATTGTCAATTCTCTTTTGAACCAAAGCCTTACCAATAAATTAGATTCGTTTTCCGTAAGATGAGCTGTTGCTTTCTCAGAGATAAATTCCCTCAAATGGAATGCAATTAGTTACAGAAAATTATAGATAAATTTTCTTCTGGGGAAACACAAAAGATAAGTGCTTCATAAAGTGATTCTGAGCAAATGAAAATATGCAGCTAAAACACATGATACATGGGTGAGGTTTGTAAGCACAAAAAACCTTTCTCAGCACCAATTCTCAATAAAAAATTTCCTCAGTTGATTTCACAGTAAATTCATGTTATACCAGGCTTAGTATAGTGTCATGTAATTATTGAAGTGATCATAGTAGTTTAGAGTAAGTAGTTGGTAATGCCTCGTCTATTGTCACAAAAGATTTTCCTAAAGGCTAGAAATTTCGACCCTAGCCTAAAATATCACTTCAGTAATTTGTGAAGAAAGGCGAAAAAGCCTTTGATTCCTGGTGATCTCAACAAGGAGTGTATAAAAGTATATAATTACCTAATCCATCATGAATTTTCTAAATCCACTACCACCTAAAACGATATCTACAAGATGAGACTCATAAGTCAAAAAGTCATGATTCATAATCGCAATTAAGATGATTCAAAAGTTGAAGTGCCAATATGGAATTTTTTTTCAGTGTGATATGATGTCTAATGTCACAAATGACTAACAAGTTTGATATGACACGCAATTTATAGTAGATAATTGATGGATATCGCATATCGCGGAATCTATGATTATCAACGCTCAGACTAAAAAGACAAAATGACGCATTCTTTTGTATCAAGTCAATGCATTCACAATTTGATTATGCTTGCACATACTTCAATTGAAAGGAAAACCATTAAAATATTAGTAATCTTTGACCCTTATACTTGAATATGGATTAAGGTCATGAATATGCCAACATACATATATAATTAGGCAAGATACTATGTACACATGGGTGCATGAACACAGACATTCATAAATGTAACATATCAACAACTTGATAGAAAAATAAAATTTTGTTATTTTGTACAAACCAAATAAGCACACTTTTCTAAAAGGGAAAAATTTGGATAAAAAATAAGAAATATAAGGATCAAGGTCACATTTCCTTCCTAAACTGACTGTGACGCCCAAATAGATAGGGATAAATTGATGTACAATTTACATTATCTTTATAATCTTTATAGTGACAACGACAACGCATGCAGACAAATACCTGTAATGAGGTGGTGTAAAACTTCCACGATGAGTATGAAGTTAATATCATGATTGTAGATTAGTACTGGACAAAATCATTACATGAAATGTCATACTCTTATTTCACGTTGGTCATAATTGGTAGGCCAAATTATACTGAAATTGAAAATTATGTTCTTTTTGTTCGTAGTTCTGAAATTAGACAATGAAATATATAAATTAAATAAAAAGAATACAATGGGAGCAAGGAAGTTGTCTTAGTCAAAGCAAGAACGGTGAAAAAGGAAAAAAATTTCCAAAGTATCAATAAGAAATCATTTAGCAAGTTCAGTAGAAGTGGCAGCTCACATTTGGACAATTGGAACCAGAAGTGTTTATTTAAGGAAATGCTGGGAACTGCAAATGAGAAAAGGAGGTGCAAACTTTATAATGGTTATCACAAAGGCCAGACTAGATATTCTATACTAAAAGGCCAATGTATTTCGAGAGAAATGATTAATCAATGAGTAATGCCTTCATGCGGACTTATGCACTCTGCACAACGAGAACTTCACGACCTAGAATTACTTGAAGAACGAAAAAAAAAAAAAAGAGACATAAAAAAAGTGGGCAACACCTCTGTGCACAAATTCATGCTAGAATGCAACTAGTAGAAGGTTTTAATAGTAAGTTTCGAACCATTAAGAACTGTAAAGAAAAATCATTAGCTAGACCCAAGAAAGTGAAAGTAATTGCTCACATAATTGGTCATCGATAAGGAATTACCTGGGATGGAGCGCATTACCTTGAGAACAAGGTGACTTCATCAGTTCAACCCTCCAGGAATCATAGATCCCAATAAGGCAGATCAATCACCAGTAATCACCACAAGAGCAAATTCCATCCTGAAAGTGATGGAACCGATTGATATCTCGAACAACAATATCTCGCTGCACTACTTTTGATATTAACTTCACTGTGGCATGGCAATCCACACATATTCGAAGGTTTTTAATGATACGAATAGGGCTCCCAGGTGATGTTCTAATTAACCCAAATGCTAGAGCTAACCTTTCACTGTGTACCCACAAGAAGCGCTCCTTTTCATCATCCTCCACATCAAGCAAAACGGCACTATAATTGGGAACATGTCCTGCCTTCAAAGTTCTCATTTTCAACCATTCCAGCATCCCGTTGATCAGTTTCATGTCAGGATGTGAAGTATCCCCCACACTGAAATAATGAACTGTGCCCTGGTTCTCAATCCAACTTAGGCCGGGTTCCTTCTTTACTCCTTTCCTTTTCATGTTTTTTCTGACAGAAGCCACATTATCCCATCTCCTTGCAGTGGCATATATGTTTGACAATAACACGTGGGTAGCATCATCTTGGGGATCCATTTCAAGAACATGCTGGGCAGCAATCCTTCCAAGTTCCACATCATTATGGATAACACAAGCTCCGAGCAAAGCACGCCATACCATAACACTAGGTTCAAATGGGATTTCCTGAATCAACTTCACAGCCTTATCAAGATGGCCTGATCTCCCTAACAGCCAGACCATACAAGTATAGTGCTCTACGCACGGTTCAACGTCATAGTTCTGCACCATAGAATTAAAATAAGCCTGTCCTTGATCTAATAGTCCTGCATTGCTACATGCTGACAAAATACCGACAAAAGTTAACTTGTTTGGTTTGCAATTTGTTTCCTGCATCATTTCAAAAATCTGTAGAGCCTCCAGGCCAAGACCATGCATAGAATATCCTGAGATCATCGCATTCCATGAAACCTCATCTCGTTGCTTCAACTTATCAAACACCAGGCAGGCATCTTTGATGCTTCCACACTTAGCATACATGTCTATTAAAGAATTACCCACTACAGTATCTTTGTCGTATATGGTTTTGACCGTTATAGAATGTATCTGAACTCCTGGCTCCAATGCTGCTAGGCTAGCAGAAGCACGGAGAGCACTAGAGTACGTCACTTCTGTAGCCTGCACTTGGCATCTAAGCATATTTGAAAACAAAGCCAACGCCTTCTCCCCATCACCTAACTGAACATATCCAACAATCATCGTGTTCCAAGATACATCATTTCTATTTGGTGATTCCACAAATAAGTCCATAGAGTTCTCTAACTTTCCGCATTTAGCATAGACACCCATGAGAGCATTTGAAACAAAGACATCTGAATCAAGACCAAGCTTGATTACATGGCAATGGATTTGCTTCCCAAAATCTAAACGCTCCATAGTTGCACAAGCTTGAAGTGTGCTAGCATATGTAAACTGGTTGGGAACAACAAATGCTTGCCTCATCTGACAAAACAAGTCCAGAGCCTCTTCACAACGGTCACTCTGAGCACACCGTGAAACCATGAGGCTCCAAGGAACCACGTCATTTTTGGGCATCTCTTGAAATACTTGCCGAGCCTCCTCAACATCTCCAAACTTGGTGTACATATCAAGCAATGCAGTACCCACATATAGATCCCCTTCATAACATGATTTCATTACACACCAACACAGGCCTTAAGCACACCCGTAAAAGTATAATTGTTAGGCTTGAATCCAATCATCCGCATTTGACTGAAGAGTTCGAGTGCTTCTTCAAAACAGCCATTCTCAGCATAACATGCTACCATCCCAGTCCAAGCTACCATATCCTTACAAACAATCTCATCAAAAACATCCCTAGAAACATCAACGTGGCTGCAAACAGAGTAGGCATCAATGAGAGCAGTCCCAACAAAGGCATTAGAGCCATGTGCAAGCTTATGAATACAAGCATGGATGGTCCAAGCCAGCTCAGCCCATCCCATCCTTACAAGTAACTTCAAAATTGTAGTAAAAACAAATTGGTTAAGCTCATGGCCTTCTGTATGCAGCCGGTGAAACAACTCTACAGCATCAACAAAACGTTGAGAGTCCGCAAATCCCTGGATCAACGTAACAAAAGAAATAGTATTTCTTTCAGACATTTCGTCAAACAGCGTAGTGGCATTAGACAGCATACCCGCTTTCACGTACATATTAAGAAGAATGTTGAGAGCAAACAAGTCCAAGCAACCACCTTTCTTCAAGATCCTGCAGTGAAGACCCATTGCGGAATTCGAGTCACCGTTTCGGATACAATGTTGAAGCATAGCAGCGTATGCGTGAGAGTCGAACTCCGAGTTGGGAAGCTCTGCGTGGACAGGGGGGTGTTCGGGCAATGGGGCAGCTGCTGCTGCTTGGGCAGCGTACCCACATCGCGAAAAGCTAATCCGAGCGTTGGTTTTACAATGCGTAGCGAAATTTGCACACTGAAACGTTCTTTGACAAATCAATCTAAGCATGCCCGCGTAAATTTCTTTTTGAAAAAACAAGTAATTTGTGTAAACCTTGACTTCCTATAAGAAACTGCACCCTTCGGCCCACCACACAGACACGCGTCGAGAGAGACCAAACATGTTGCAGTGGGAAGGCCCACCTTCGCGAGAAAAACTCTGTTGCAAGTTGCAAGTTGCAATCGGGATAGCACTGTTTTAGTATCCGATTAATAGTATTATGTCAAGTGAAAGTATTATCAGATGTGTAATAGGGTTATTGGCAAGATAGCAAAATAGTGTTACACTTGTTTTATTGTAGTTCAAACCACTATGTCAAATTCAAAGCGTGTCCTCTAATTTTTAATTTATATATATATATATATATTTTTTTTTTACAAGTTTATTTTTGTTTTCTTACTAGTAGCTTATATTGTTTAATATAATAAAGCTTTTTTTTTTTTGGTCGAAGTTTGAAACCGAGCTATGGACGCATTGGCAATATATTGCCTATTAATTACTTGAAAATCGCCTAGCTCAGTTTTGTGATTAGAGAGACTTTGGAAGGACTGCTAACATGTGGAAATAATCGAGTTAGATTTACTTATGTTGTTCAAATTGAAATTGAAGCTTTTTATTTTTATTTTTTTATTATATATATATATATATAATGGTATTGCATTCAACCCAAAAGAGAATATTACATGGATTATTGTGAGTAACACCGTCAAATTATACAAAGTTAATAATTGAAAAAGATTCCAAGGTTTTTGATTGGTCTTTTAAATTCTGGTAATGACTCCTTAGCAAAAAATTTCCATCAAAATTTGTTCTTTTAGTTCATGGCATTCCCCATCGTCATGTTCTTGTGAAACATCCCCAAACCTTTCATTCCTTACAATATAGAGCAATACGAACGGTTGGTTTGCATTTACTACTGTACATTGGCACTTCATGGGGTGCAGTTGTGGTAACACGAACTCCTGTATAAAAGGTATGGTATCACATGAATTTCCTGAGTGTTGAAACCCAAAAAGCACTGAAACAACCTTAAATCTTCAAATCCTTCCTAAATCCGTCAGATGAAACAGACTGCCTTCAGAAGTACCAAATGTTCTACTCAAAAAATACTCGCAGCACAAGCTACATGAAACATAATTAACTGGAATTACTACTACAAGACTCCTCGTGAATTATAGCAGCACTAAAGTCCGACGACCATGCTCGGACGCACCAATGCATAACATCGTATGACTCATAACTCAAGTGTACAAAATCCAATTCTCTGTCTCACCAAACTCTATCATAAAACTCGAAAGGGCTTAAAATTGTCAACCAAACGCAATGGAGTGTACACAGTATCCATTCAGAGTCAAGTTAAAGAGTAGCTGATACTTAGCACAAAACAGAGAAACCTAAAATGAACTAACCAACGAGCTATAGCCCTAAATGAGGAGAGGTACGGGGCACAGGGTTACTCATCCCGGCTAAATGAAACAGCGTGCAACAGAAGATTTGAGAAGACATCAATTGAAAAGCTTTAGCATTTCAACACCCCAAAGTTTGAATACAAAATGGAACAACAAAGAATATAGATATGAAACATTTTCATGCAAAAGAACTTGTTCATCGATAACCTGTCATTTAATCTGAAAAGGGCAGACATGAAAATTTCAAACAATACTTCATCCGAAGGGCAATTGAAAATGTAAACCACCAAACATAACTAAACCAGATGCATAACATAGCACTCCCATGACAAGGTCCAGAACGCCGCCCCTAACAAATTACATATTAAAAACTAAAAAGCAAAACAAAAATGAGGAGCACCCACATTTTAACCTTAATCAACCCTCAAAAAGCCCTTTCTCAATTCTCCAAATACACATCAATGCAATCGAAGCTTGAGCATCAGTCTCCCTTCCTTCTGAAAGAGCAACCCTCAGTGAGCCTGGCACGCCCACCAGTAGGCTGGCACAACACTGTCTGGCAGTTCCCGCAAACCACAACTGTTTGCGAGTGACTGAACACGGTGGTTCTGCACAAATGAATTTTAATTTGGTTCAATCTCCAGACAATGAATAAATTTCCTTATTTCATAAATTTAAATCATATGCAGCAACTACTTGAACATAATCATCAGAAAAGGTAATGGAAGATGGGAAGAATCACTTACATGTTGAAGCATCCTTGGCACTTAACGTCCTGTGCGTATTTAAAACAATCAAGATTAGAAATTTCTCTAGAAAATCAGAACCAAACAAAGAGAAACAAATGTCCCAAAAAGGCATATTGCATCGAATAATTAATAGTAGTACCATGAAAAAAGAGTTAGGAGACTGCACAAGACGCTTGAGCTTGTGTTTCCTCTTCTCGAGCTCAGCTGGTGGATGCAGCAAATCGATATCGTTCTGGAGCACCTGTTAGCAACCAGCAGTTTAATATCTACCACGAAATAATCCATTTGCTCCAAAAAAAAAAAAAATTATTTTTTTACCATTAGTTTGATATGCACAGAATGAATCAATTAAAAGTGCGTTTCATTTTCAGCTTATGGGATCATATCTAGATTCAAAGCCATGTTTTCAATACACCCAGGAAACGAAAACAAACAAAAGATGTTATTTAGCGCAGCGGATTTTCACAAATGGCGTTAAATCTGTGAGCCTAATGAAGAAGATGGTTCAGATCGTAACAAAGGTCTAAGAAAATACAAATACAAGATAGTTCGGCTGGGCTTACCATCTTGGTTGTTGTAGATCGCAGAAACCAAAAACAGAGCCGCAAGAACCTCTGGGGAGATAGAGAGAGGAGAGCGACTGAGAAGGGGATTAGGGTTTATAGGGCTATGAATATAAACGAATGTGGCAAAAATGTAGGCCGTCGGATCCACACAAACTTAGATCTGCGCATTCACCGCCATACGGGCATTATCGTCCTTTCAGTCTTATTTATAATATTTCTTGATTGGCCCCCTACAATATTCATATTTCCAATTCTTCCGAAAGACTATACTGGAGGAAACGGCGTCGCGTTGAAGGTGCGAGTGAGTTGTTGGCGATTAGGGTTTCGGGGTTTTCTTTAGTTCCTCACACTCTTTATATAAAGCGTGTGGTGGATGCTTCTGTATTGGCCTCGTCTTCCAGCGGCTGTTCCACAATTCTTCGTTATTGTTTCGTTGATGCTACTTGCTCTGCGTTTGTTCTGTCTAATTTTTCTTTCTACTCTGCAACTTATTTTGTTATTCTATGCTTGCCTTATCTGAAGGCAAAGTTAATAGAGGATGAGAGCATATGATGAGAAAAATTTGGAATTGACGACTGATTGGCGAAAGCCATGAAGCTTCCAAAATTCGAGCTTTTTAAAACTGATGCTCATAATTTCCTCTCTCTCTCTCTCTCTCTCTCTCTCTCTCTCTCATTATTAAATGGAGATTTTACAGTTCCTTTTTTCATAAGGATTAGATTGGTTCTGCAGATTGTGTTTGATTGGTCCTTGAGACATTGCCTATGAGAGATCCGAGCGAACCTTGTTTGATGGCGCTTGAGTTCCGTTGCGGGCATACAGAAAACTCAAAAGTGATTCCATTCTTCTTGTTGGAAGATGTTTTGTTTTCTCTTCTTACGTCGAAGAAAGGGTGTTGCACAGATTGTCAATTTAAAGTTTTTGGTTTTTGCAAGTGAATTTTCGGCCGTTTCAAATGTGCTTTTGCGTTTTAATGCGAGGGCTCAATTTCACCCGGCCAATATATGATTTATAGGGGCAGTTTCAAGGTTTTGCATGTTCTCCGTCATGTTTCAATTCAGGTTACTGCCCTAAATTTGTAGTCATTGTTACCCTTAAAAAGTCTAGAATTATAAGCAATGTTTACATCATGAATATAATTTGATTTCTCAAACTGAAAATTCCCTTCAATGGTAAGGCACCCATTCCTTTGGAATATAATCAAAAGCGTTAACTAAAACTCTTTCATCATCAGTCTCAAGTAACTCAAGTAGGATTGAAATAATGGTAATCCATTTTGTATAATCGAAATTAACTTGTTCCGCTTTTCACTATATGGATCCTTACTTTTTATATTAGCCACATGATCATATTCAGATGAATTATGTGACTAATATGAAAGTTCATGGTCCATATATGACACTCTTACAGTAAAATGATTCCAGATAAAAGAATTGGTACTTAATAAGAGGAAGATTCTTCTTTTTCTAAGTAAAATGAATGGGCTCTTCACTCATGGGCTTTCAAATAAGGTTTGGGCTAGGGTTAGTTGCTTCAGTCAACAAACAAAGAGAATGAAGTAGCAGATGTTGTTCAGCTTGGGCCTATGAACATTGAGCTTCTCTGGTATTAAAATTATCAGCAAGTTGCCTGTACTGGGCCAGCCATTATAACCCTTGCTACATTCAGCCTGTCTACAAGTGGTGTGGAAAAAGGAGGTCCAATTCAGACAGCATGGAGAAGTTTAATAAGTCAAATCTTTGCGCGTTTATATTTTGGATTTGGAAGATACGGCAAAGGGTACATACTTAAAGCCAACTTACTAATTAGGTTCGGGCACGGATCGGTTTGGAACAATAGAAGGCTCTTTCGTTAACCAAATTAAAGACTTCGGTAGACTTTAGATTGGTTAACCTAATATTTAGTTCGGATTGGCCAATACACTGGTAGTACCGTAATAAAAATATACTAATAAAAATATAATTTATAATACTTTCACATAACATAAATTCTTGAACAAATACACCAAATTATCCTCATAAAATATAAAAATTCAATAGTCTAATTCGTCCAAGGATGAAATCAAATAACTTAGTCACTATATCATTTAGTATGTACTCAAGATGTACTAGGAGCCACTTGTGTTTGTTGTTTGAACCTTTGAGTGTTCTTTTTATTGAATTCTCTACATTTATATAAATGATTTTGACATTTGTTCCGCGTGGGGTTCTTTAGTTTTTCATGCTGAATCCAACCATATAAAGAACATAAAATTTGGATCAATAGTTGGAAAGTTACAGGTAAAAAAGGGGCAAATATCGAAATTGGAAAACATATGAAGTTCATAAATTCCTCTTTGACCAAAAAGTGCTAAAGTACCGGGGTAAATGATACAATGGTGATAAAGAAGTGATAGAG